ACTCAAAGACACTCTGCTAATCAGGAACAAGATTAGCAGACACAGTGACGACACATTAATACAGGATGAGCAGCAGTTACTGTGAAAAAACATGAGGCAAAGACTAAACTAGTGCCTGGTAATCATCTGTCCCAGTGTTGAGGCCAGTATAGGGTTAGCAAATATGGAGATGGGCTGTAACGTGTGGTCAGCATGCACTGAACTGGCCCATCATTGCATTCAGATACTGTATTAATGGCTAATGGGGAATCAACTGGCACAATGATGATGGTTAATGCAGGATCAGCAGCACTGTGATTGTGACTTACGAAGGTCAGAGACATTGTACTCATTGCTAATGGGTGGTCAGCAAGGTAAGACTAGTGTGGAATCAGCAGATACTGTGCTGGAAGCTCCTGGAGGTTAGTCTCTGATCTTATGGCTAATTGGGGATCAGCAAATACATTGCTGGAACTTCATGCATATTGAAGAAACTGTACTGCTGCCTAATTGAAGATCAACAGACACTGTGATGGGAGCTAATGTGGGGTCAGCAAACTCTATGGCTTCAATGGATCAAAGACACAATGCTGCTGCGGCTCCTCGGTCACTAAGTTGTGTCCAAGTCTTTGCAACCCCATGTACTGAAGCTCTCCAGGCTCTTCTGTCCATGGGATTTTCCAGGCAAGAATACTGGAGTTGGTTGCCATTTCCTTCTCCAGGGGATCTTCCCCACCAAGGGATCAAACTCATGTCTCCTGCACTGGCAGGTGAATTCTTTACCACTGAGCCACCTGGGAAGCCCCAAAGACACAATACCTGCAGTTAAAGGTGGGGGAAGAGGACTCAGCAGCAGACACAGGGATTTGGCTACTCTAAGAACAAAAAACATGGTAATGGGTCCTCAAGGAGGTCATACTCTGTATGGGTGTCTACAAATCAGAAGACTAATGTGTGATCAGCAGATACACTGATGATGGGGGCTATTTAGGGGTCTTTAGGGAAAGAACTTGGAACTTAGTAAATGGGGATCAGAAGATAGAATGACAAGGTCAAGTTCTACAGACATTGTGCTGGGGCTCAAGAGGATCAAAGTCTATTGGTGACTAATTAGGGAACAGCAGATAAATACTGATGTAATTATGCTGCATTGTGGGTTCATGAGGTCAAAGACACTGTCAAAGTGAAGTGAAAGTGTTAGTCGCTCAGTCGTGCCAAACTCTTTTCGACCCCGTTGATTGTAGCCCACCAGGCTCCTCTGTCCATGGAATTCTCCAGGCAAGAATACTGGAGTGGGTAGTCATTCCCTTCTCCAGGGGATCTTCCTGTCCCAGGGATCGAACCTGGGTCTGCCACATTGCAGGCAAATTCTTTACCATCTGAGACACCAGGGAAGCCCCAAAGACACTGTACTGATGGCTAATAAAAAAAAAATCAGCAGATATAGTGAGGAGATCTAATGTAGGATGAGCAGACATGTCAATTAGAACTCATTGGGTTAAATATACTGTACGGTGGCTGATGGGGAATAAACAGACAAAACGGTGAAAGCTAACATAGAGTCAAGAGCCACTGCAATAGGTCTAAAGGAAGGTGATAAGATACACTGATGGGAGCCAATGGAAGGGAGGTTAGTAGCCACCGTGCTGAGTCTAAAGAGGGCAAAAAGATGTGATAGTAGATCATCAGTCACTAAGCTGTAAGCAAAAGGAGTGAAAAGATGGTATGCTGTGAGCAAATGGGGGTCAGCAAAAATTGTAATGACAGCTAAAAGAGGTGGCGAGACATGGGAGTGAGCAGACTCTGCTGGAACAAAAAGTGGAAGAAGACAAGCTATTGTAAGCTAATGGTAGGTTAGCAGACATTGTGCTCTTGACTAGTGGCAGTAATAAGAACTGCTATAAACTAATGAGGTGTTAGTAGACACTGTGCAGACATGTCATGGGGATAAAACTACATCATGGTAGCTAATGGAGTATGAGGAGAGACTATCATACTTAGGCTATCAGGAGCCACATACATACAGTAGTGTTGGCCAGTAGGGTTATCACATAAGTGATGGTAGCTAATGGAGGGCCAGCACAACCCACCACAGAGCCTTAGTAAAGGTCATTTTTCATGGAGCAAAACCATTTCTAAAGCCTTGAAAGAATGAAGTCTCCCAGTGCCAATGTCTTTCATCTGATCTAGTGGTCAAGATTCTTGGTTTTTCTCCCAGGCAGCCTACATCTGACTCCTGATATGGAAATGGGAAACTTTTTATTGTTGTGCTTTAAAGTTTTAATTTAAAGATAATTTACATACAACACAATGCACAAATCTTAAATTTAATCATTTGATGACTCTTGTGTATTCTCATTAACACACACTCAGTCAAGATACAGAATAGTTCCATCATGCCCAGGGAAGTTCCCTCCTACCTCTTAGGAGTTAATTCCTACCCCAGAGGCAACCACTGATCTGCTTTCTGTCACCATAGATTATTTTTTTTCATGTTTGACATTTTCCATAATAATAGTCATTTTAAAACATCAGATTTAATTTTTTAATGGATGAGCTGAAGACTGGAAGAAGTGAAGAGATGGCATCTTGATAAACATAATGCTTAGTAAACAAGGGTGAGGGCATGCTATATACAAAGTGAGAAAAGTGTAATATGTATATTCAAGTGTACGCTGTATTGGGGGGTATCTAACAATTAATTCAAATACCTTGGGTTGTCGTAATCATTATGGAACACTCAGGGGAAAAAGCAAAAAAATTATGTAATTTAGCATCAATATTTATTATGGCACAGTGCTACCAAAAGTAAAGGATTTGTTTCTGCTTATCAAAAAAGTACAAGGGGAAACATTCACAAGGTTGAAAAATTTGTCATTGACAGACCTCCACTAAAGAAAACTCTAAAGGATGTTTTCCAGGCAAAGAAGAAAATCATCATGAAGGAAATGAGAAAAATTAAAGAGCAACCAAAGTGGTAACTATGTAGGTAAAACAAAATGAATATATAAAACAAAAGTGTTTTCTGGGGAGACATACACACGTGTATACACACACACACACTTAACATACAGATAGAAACATATATTACATATATATATATATCCCATAATGCATCATTATATTTTAAAATATATGTATATACATATATATGAGCAAATTTTCTATTAAAAGATTAACTTTCAAAGACAATTTCTTAGAGAAAACCATAAAATACTACTTAAAATTTAATAGATTTTAAATGAGTTAAATAAAAAGACAAACACATTCAAGGATGGAAGGGCTTAAGGCCATTTTACACCTTTCAGATGGGCAACAATTCATCAAAAAATAACAGGTAAGTCCTAGTGAATATGTGGGGAAATGTAAACTTTTTCTCAAACTGCTCATGAGAGTGTAAAATAGTGCAATTTTTAAAAACTTTAATATTTAGTCAAGTTGAAAAACTTCTATATCAATCAGAACCCAGCTAGGAGACAGAAACCATACCAGCTATTTTAATAGAGAGAATTTATTTAAAAAAATTTTAATTAGTTATGAAGTTACTAACCAACTAACTTAAAAACAAAGAGAACATTAAAATTCTCATGGACTCAGCAACTGCAGAAAGCAGTGGGACTAGGGTAAAAAGGGAAGAAGTTGGAATTACTAAAAATAGAAGGTTGTAAGTAGGGTCTCATGTGACTGAGATTCATAGTTCTAAGGAGATGGCACTAGCCAGATGTTGCAAGTGTCTCTGAGGGGGTGCAGTACCATAGAGCTGTTAGTGCTGGGAAAGTGCAAACTGGGTTAAACTGCTACTACCATGAGGATCTGCTGCTTCCCAAGTGAAGAAGCAATGCTGGGCTGATACTCAGATAAACAGGGAGCCAACTGGAATTGAAAAAAAAAAGAGCAAGTCCCTTCTTCTGTCCATAGGCTCAACATTTATATTTCATATCTTTATTGGCAAGACCCAACAGAGAGTAGCAGCTGGCAAGACAGGAATGTGTTCTATAGAGTCATGGCCCCAGCATCACAAAGCCCCGGTATAGAAGGGCATGTTTGGAACTGGGGCACAATAGATTAATAACTGGCATACTGCCTACACCCTATGACCCATCATTGCCACTTCTAAATTTAAATACTAAACACAGAAATGATACAAATGCCTTTCACTAGGGGAATGGAGAGATAAATAAACCAGAGCTATATTTACCAACATGGATAGATCTTGGAAAGGTAACATTTCTTGAAAAAAAGCAAGCTGCATAAACAAAAATAGTGTGATACTACTGATGTAAATTTTTTAAAATATAGCATTATATATTGAAGACTTCATATTATACAGAAAAAACTTAGGGTAGATTAAAATTTTCAATGTTGAAAATGAAACCTTCACTTTAGAACAAAGTACAGGAGAATATTATCACCTTGAAACTGATAACATGAAAACATAAAACCTTAGGCAGAAGAGAAGAGTTAACAAATTAAAGAACCAGTCACAGACTGAGAGGAGATATCTGAAACACAAATAACTGAAAAGGGATTTTTATGTTCTCATATATTTTTTAAAGGACAAGGAAAACAACATTTAAACCAAAAAGTAAAAGACAGCCTATTAGAAAACAATAAGCAAAGGATATGAACAGTCATTGCACAGAAGAAATGTAACAATGACCAGTCAACAGGTAAGCTGATTCTCAACCTTACCACCAATTAAGGGAATCCAAATGAAATGAAAACAACAATAAGCCACTCCCTAAGGGGATCAGGACAATTTTCACACCAAGGCAGGAGCCATATTGTTACAGGTATACTCTGTGTGCCCCAGTAATCAGATGGCCAAAAGGGCTTGACCAAATGGTGAGGGGAGTCTTCTTAGAGAAGCTTTCTCCACAGTACAAGGCAAGGTCTGGCCTAAGTGAGTTCTCTGATGTTCTGTGAGGTGTGCCTTCTGGCAGAAAGCTTTCCCACATTCTTGATATTCGAAGGGTCTCTCCTGTGTTAATGAGGCATACTTTCACAGAAAAGGCATTTCTTCATTCACAAAGTTTCTCTCCTGTGTGAGTTCTCTGGTGTTGACAAAGGGATTTCTTCATACTGAAGATTTTTCCACATTCACTACATTCATATGGTTTTTCTCCTGAATGCATTCTCTGATGTTCAATGAGGCGTGCTTTGACATAGAAGGCATTACCACATTTGTTACATTCATAAGGTTTCTCTCCTGTGTGAATTCGCTGATGTATTCCAAGAGATGAGTGCACACTGAAAGATTTCCCACATTCATTACACTGGTAGGGTTTTTCACCCGTATGAGTTCTCTGGTGATTATTAAGAGTCATCTTCAATCTGAAAAATTTCCCACATTCACCACATTTATAGGGTTTCTCACCTGTATGAATTCTTTGATGTTGGTTTAGGGATTTTTTTGCACCAAAGTTTTTCCCACAAGCACCACATTCATAGGGTTTCTCCCCTGTGTGAGTTCGCTCATGTTGAGTAAGGGATATCTTAACACGAAATGTTTTCCCACATTCGCCACATTCATAGGGTTTCTCCCCTGTGTGAGTTCTCTGATGAATCATGAGGGTTGCCTTCTCAGAAAAAGTTTTCCCACAATCAGTACATTCATAGGGTCTCTCTCCTGTATGTGTTCTCTGATGTAGAATGAGTTGTGACTTCCTGCCAAAAGATTTTCCACATTCATTACATTCAAAGGGCTTCTCTCCTGTGTGAGTTTTCTGATGAGCAATGAGGTATGATCTTGCACTAAAAGTTTTTGCACATTCACCACATTTATAGGGTCTCTCCCCTGTGTGTATTCTCAGATGTTCAATAAGGTTTGATTTCCTGCAGTAAGTTTTCCCACATTCATTACATTCAAAGTTTCTCTCTCCTGTGTGTGTTCTTTTGTGTCCAACAAAGCTTGTTCTCTTGTAGAAGGCTTTCTGATATTCGAGAGTTTGATCCAAAGTTTGAATCTTCCGATGCTGAAGGTCATTATCATGCCTGAGGGAATTACTCCAAACAGAACTGTTGGCACCTGGCAGTGAAAAAGAGCCTTTAAAAGTAAATCAGATCATATCACTCTCACTCAAAACCCAACATAGGCTTTCCCTTGTCACAGTATAAAAGCTTAACAAAGCCTATAAAAACTCTACATAATTTAGTCCCCAGCTAACTCTCAGATCTGTGGAAAATTCTGAAAGAAACGGGAATACCAGACCACCTGACCTGCCTCTTGAGAAACCTGTATGCAGGTCAGGAAGCAACAGTTAGAACTGGACATGGAACAACAGACTGGTTCCAAATCGGAAAAGGAGTACGTTAAGGCTGTATATTATCACCCTGCTTATTTAACTTATATGCAGAGTACATCATGAGAAACACTGGGCTGGAGGAAGCACAAGCTGGAATCAAGATTGCCAGGAGGAATATCAATGACCTCAGATATGCAGATGACACCACCCTTATGGCAGAAAGTGAAGAAGAACTAAAGAGCTTCTTGATGAAACTGAAAGAGGAGAGTGAAAAAGTTGGCTTAAAGCTCAACATTCAGAAAACTAAAATCTTGGCATCCGGTCCCATCACTTTGTGGCAAACAGATGGGGAAACAATGGAAACAGTGGCTGACTTTATTTTTCTGGGCTCCAAAATCACTGCAGATGGTGACTGCAGCCATGAAATTAAAAGATGCTTACTCCTTGGAAGGAAAGTTATGACCAACCTAGACAGCATATTAAAAAGCAGAGACATTACTTTGTCAACAAAGGTCCGTCTAGTCAAGACTATGGTTTCTCCAGTGGTCATGTATGGATGTGCGAGTTGGTGTACAAAGAAAGCTGAGCATTGAAGAATTGATGCTTTTGAACTGCGGTGTTGGAGAAGACTCTTGAGAATCCCTTGGACTACAAGGAGATCCAACCAGTCCATCCTAAAGGAGATCAGTCCTGGGTGTTCATTGGTAGGACTGATTTTGAAGCTGAAACTCCAATACTTTGGCCACCTGATGTGAAGAGCTGACTCATTTGAAAAGACCCTGATGCTGGGAAAGATTGAAAGCAGGAGAAGAAGGGGACGACAGAGGATGAGATGGTTGGATAGCATCACCGACTCAATGGACATGGGTTTGGGTGGACTCTGTGAGTTGGTGATGGACAGGGAGGACTGGAGTGCTGCGGTTCATGGGGTCGCAAAGAGTCGGACATGACTGAGCGACTGAACTGAACTGAACTTAACTGAACTCTCAGATATCACTTCCTAACACTCTTGATCCATACCCAACCTTGATCCACACCAGCATCTTTGCTATTCCTATTATATATCCTTCAGACTAGACTGGCACTATCTGTTCTCTCTGCTCAAAATAGTACTAAAATCTACATGGCTCTGTCTCACTTCACTGATGTTGGTGTACTAATGTTAACTTCCCCAAAGAGTCTTCCCTGACCACATTCTACAAAAGCACAAACCATCACTGTTTACTCTTTTAATCTTGAATTGATTTTCTTTTCTCCACCAAACATCATGTATTCATTTGTTTCTGGTCTCCCTCCCTCATTAGACTGCAAGCTCCAAGAGAACAGAGATATTACTTTACTCACTATTGGACCCCCCCCAACCTAGAAGGTGACCAGCATACAGCTGACCCTCATTTAAGATTTAGTAGATGACTAAATGAATGTATGAATGAGTGCCTGACAACAGAAGGCATCCAAGGCAATGGAGGGAAGGAAGACAATTGAGAATACTAAAGAGAAACAGACTAGCTAAGAATAAATATCTAAGCTGAGGCAGGCAGGGAAATACAAGAGTGGTAAATAACTACAAAAATCAAGATAAAATAGGAGAGAGCACTTAAGTGTGAACATGATATGGGGATGTAGGATTTAGGTATCTAAAGCATATAGACCTCCTGTCTTCCAGTCATTTTCAAAGAGCAAGGGCCTCTGAAAAGAGATTCCTGAAAAATACTACCCAAACATAACATTTGATTTGAATTCCTGAAGTCTTATTTCTCCTACTTTTCATATGTTGAGTTGTTGCTCACTCACCTGTGTAACCATGGCCTGAGGATTCCTCCTCTAATATCCACAGTTCTTCCCCTCGCTCCAACTTGAAGATCATCTCTGGTTTGGCCACGCAGAGGCCTGTTAATGGGAAATGGCACAGGACGTGGGCCAGGTTGCCTGAGCTTTAGGGCCTCTGATGGAGGAGAAAGGTGCATCTTCATGAACTGCACAAGGAAGGGTACCCACTGAAACCTTTCACTGGGGGAAGTGAGAACACACACACTCTTCCTGGTGCTCCAAACTGATAAATTATCTGTGACCCCTTGAATCTAGAACTAAAGTATCACTGAACTCTACAAAGGCTGCCCAGGTTATAGCAACCAAGAAAGGAAAAACATGCTACCAGGAGTTAGGTGGACAATAATCCTCACCCACAGATGCCAGGTTGCTGTAGTTCTCCAGCATCACATCCCTGTGCATCGTCCTCTGGGCAAGATCCAGTCTGTGCCACTCCTGTCGGGTAAAATCCACAGCCACATCTTCGAATGACACGGATCCCTGTAACAACAATCTGCAATGACCAGGATAGAACACCTGGAAAAGATATGTGGGAACTAATTCTCCCAGTAGAGCACTTTTGAAAGTTGACTAGAAAAAGCTTCACTGGTGTCAACTGAAAAAAATGTACAATGTGAGAGTTGTGAGTTAAGTTTTATTTAGGGCAAAATGAGAACTACAGCTTGGGAGACAGCATTTCAGACAGCTCTTAGGAACTGCTCTGACAAGGAAAGGGGAGGTCAATATATATGTGATTTTGGTGAAGGGGGTAGACACAAGAGGCAGATGTCTCTGTTAATGATCTTAGTGCTTTTCTAGATATGAGAAGATACAAGAAATTGGGTTCAGAACATATTCACCTGAAAATATCTATCTGAAGGCCTGCTCTACCAGTTTTTTCCAGAGCACTGATTGTCTCATTCCTGATCTCTGCCCTCAACTCCTTTCAGGATATGCTGAAGGTCAGTGACTACAGTGGCTAGTGATCTAATCCTTATAGAGGCAAAGAACAAGTGACAATCTTTAGCTGGCACTAGAAACCTGACTCTGACTTGCTTGATACTATTTTTTGGGAGAGAAAAACCCAGAACAGTCCTGCTAGTGTATTAACTTTTCAATTCATGGAGAAAAGACCACTGACTGCTGAGTTAATACTCTGTGTCTGGACCTGTCCTAATTGCTGAGGAAATAAAGAGAGTGCCATGTTTTTTCACAAATTGAAGGTTTGTGGGGACCCTGCACTGACCAGATGATGGTTAGCCTTTTCTAGCAACAGAGTAATTTTTTAATTAAGGTATGTACATAGTTTTTTTTTAGACATGTTATTGCACACTTAATAGACTACAGTATAGTCAGTGTGACTTTTATATGCACTGGGAAACCAAAAAATTCACGTGACTCACTTTATCACGATATTTGTTTTATTGCAGTGGTCTGGAAACAAACCTGTAGTATCTCAAAGGTATGCCTGTATATGAACACACCCTTGCCATGAGATGTTACAGGAGCTATGCTGGACATGGGTACAAGGTGCAATGGGCTTTTACAAGGGATGGAGTAAGATTACACCTTGTGTTAACAGACTGAACTTCACTTGGGGAGGCAGAGCTTTGAATCCTTAAACAAAAATATAATCTTCCTCATAAATATGGGGCAGTAACATGAAAAAAAAGGCAGGAAGACATGAAACATGCAAGATGAGTTAAGAGAACTACATATAGCACAGTATGACAGGAAAATAGTGCTTTGGACAGTGATGAGATAAAGGGCTACAGAGACATTCAGGGGCAGGCAGTGGAGGGATTGCCAACTTTTTTTTTTCCTAAAGATCATCAATCTCCAAAAGACTTGACTACACGATCAGAATATTTACTGACCTTCGCACAATATATTTACATTTATAAATTACACAGAAGTACTGTCAAGTAAGAGAAAGGAAGAGAATATCACTCCTAGGATAACAGCATGAACAGCTGAGTTGAGGCTGGTGCCATATATGGTGGTGGTGGTGGTTTAGTCGCTAAGTGGTGTCTGACTCTTGCAACCCCATGGACTGTAGCCCTAGCCTTCCAGGCTCCTCTGTCCTTACAAGTTCCCAGGCAGTAATACTGAAGGGGTTTGCCATTTCCTTCTCCAGGGATCTTCCCAAGCCAGGGATTGAACCCACTTTGGTGCATTGTAGGGGCTTCCCTGGTGGAGCTGGTGGTAAAGAACCCACCTGCCAATGCAGGAGATATAAGAGATGCTGGTTCAATCCCAGGGTCAGGAAGATCCCCTGGAGGAGGATATGACAACCCACTCCAGTATTCATGCCTGGAGAATCCCATGGACAGAGGAGCCTGGGAGTCTATGGTCCATAGGGTCGCAAAGAGTCGAACACGACTGAAGCGACTTAGCACGCATGAACGCTTCTGCACTGCAGGCAGTCTCCAGCACTGCAGGCAGATTCTTTACTGCTGAGCCACTAGGAAAGCCCCGGTGCAACGTACTGAGATTAGCAAAAAAGGAACACAATGGGCTGGCAGAGGGGGAGATTGAAATGGATCTTGGACCTGAGCTGGAGTGTTTATGTCACATACTGATAGAGATGTCCAGCTGGCAGATTAACATATGATGCTGGAGCTCTGAAAGAAGGCTAGGACAGACCAAGGATTTAGAGGCAATAGCATTTCAGTACTAGCTGAAGGCACCATGATAAACTGGATGGCTAAGAGAACAACAGAGCTTGAAGAGAGGCATCAAGTGCATGGTCAGTGGGTATACCAACATGACATGAAGATTGAAAAGGAGTTGGGGGGCTCCTGTGGGACAGAGAAAGCCTCTCTTTTCTTTGTCATGGAGTCCTGTTCCAAAGTAAATCCCAGTACCAAAGCTGCAAC